GGAGAAAACCCAGTTTGCTCAAAATGCTTTTTAATTATTTAACACAATTTAATTATTCCATTTTTAATTGTACTTAATGTCTGCTTGCTGAGCTGAACGCCCCAGGGAAGTTGTTTACAAGGTTATTTGTACCAGAGATGGTATTTACCGGTTCTCCGAACTACTCAAAATTTCTGCTATCGGTTCTCCAGAACTGGTTAGTACCTGCTAAATACCATCTCTGGTACAAATAACCTTGTAAACAACTTCCCTGGGGCGTTCAGCTCAGCAAGCAGACATTAGGTACAATTAAAAATGGAATAATTAAATTGTGTTAAATAATTAAAAAGCATTTTGAGCAAACTGGGTTTTCTCCTATTCTGCCCTATGGACAAATATGTTAGCGGAAGAAAACCCCTCCAAAGCTCTTTGAAACTTTGGCCTGCCATCACTTAAACATATTTAAGTTTCCTTTTATCCATGTGAACTGGCTCAGTGGCTAAGACTTTGTGTTTGTCAATCAGAAAGCTTGGCAGTTTGGCGGTTCAAATCCCTAGTGCAGCATAACCGAGTGAGCTCCCGTTACTTGTCCCAGCTTCTGCCAACCTAGCAGTTCAAAAAATGCAAATAGAAAAATAGGGACCACCTTTGGTGGGAAGGTAACAGTGTTCCATGACCTTTGGTATTGAGTCATGCCATCCACATGACCACGGAGACGTCTCCGGACAGCGCTGGCTCTTCGGCTTTGAAACGGAGATGACCACCGCCCCCTAGAGTTGGGAACGACTAGCACATATGTGCGAGGGGAACCTTTACCTCATGTGAACTGGAAGCATCTTCCTCTTCTCCCTTTCCAGCTCTCCTTTCTTCATCCCAACAAATCCTGCCCTATTTCAAGACTTGCGCAGAATTAGGAATCGCTCCCAGGTTTGCCTCAAAAATCACACTGCCGAAGTCTGGCCTTCCACTCAGCTGCTGCTTCAAATCAAAGACAAGAAGGAAGAGAGACAGATATATAGAGAGAGTGACATTGTGTCAAGGCTTAAATGAACCACCAAAGATTCCAATTTTGTTTCTCCTTTCTTCTTCTCCCTAATGGTTTATAATTTGAAGAAAAGATGAACGATCTCCATGCTATGTCATTAATGAGAACGTAAAGTTACTGCTTTAAAGCTTCCCCTGGGATCTTTTCAGTGTCAAGTCAATTCTGCAGACGGGGTCCAGAAGGCAGAAAAATCACCAAAGCTTCAATCGGTTTCTTTCAACAGTTGACAGAAGTTTCATTCCTAGACCTCATTTTTTTCCCCTCTCGTAGCTTTGATCTTTGATGACAGGGCGAACTCTCATTTTCGTCCCCCAGATTGCATTGATTGGAAGGAGTCTTTTGAGATAAGCGCACTAATTAATTCGTTGGAAATTTAATTAAATCTTTCCACTTAGGGATGGAGGCACCAGTCCCTTCTGTGTACACTCCAACATTCCTTGCCTTCTCTTTGTGAAAAGCTCCTAAACATTTCTAAGGTAAGCTATTTGCAAAGGGGAATCTTTGGGTAGTTGAGGTTTTGCCGAGGTGGCGCAGTGGTTAGAGTGCAACACTGCAGGCTACTTCAGCTGACTGCAGTTCTGCAGTTCAGCT